CAAGCAACAAAATAAAATCAGGCTATCTGGCATAATCAGATAGCGGTTCTTCTCCTGAGGTTCCCGGGATGACTGCGGAGACACAGGACAGTTACCTGCCGGGGTCGGAGCACCGTGCCTGCTGCTGCAGAGGCACCGGGCGCCTCTGCGTGGCTGCAGCAAGCTGCGCGCACTGCCCTGACGAGCAACACCGAAGACTGAGCAGGCAGCACACAGAGCCTGCCTGCTGCAGCTGAAAAACCCAGCACTCGAGGCCAAAAGACAACATTTTCAACAAATAAGGCACACAAATGCTAAAGGCTAATTCGTCTATGAAAGCTGCGCTTTGCCACACAAGGAAACGAGGCAAGCATATTTGCAAACGTGACTGTGTGACGTACTGCAGCTCGGCAGCAGGGGCTGCAAACAGGCTGGCCACGGCGCTCCCGAGCACCGAAACCCTTGCTCAGAGGGAGACCTTAAGCCATACGCCCCAAGAAACCGAGGCTCAGTGGCAGCCTGCGGCATGTGGTGTTTTCCAGAGCTGCCCCAGCAGTGAGACCCAGCGTGGTGGAAAAGCCACATGCGAGACGCAGCAGCTGGACCGGACCCCACTCCGCAGCGGGCACCTCGCGGACCTTCCCCCCCCCATCCCATCACTGGGGCAGCTTCAGAGCACAAGACCGAAGCAACGGGGACAAAGACATGGCAGCTGAACACCGCCAGCCCTGAGCTGTTGTACCTAGCCAGTATCAGCTTAACTGCACACGCGTAACCTCTGCTCAGCCTGCTGGGTCGCCTTTTATCCTGAATTTCTCTCCTTCAGCTCTCCAGCAAACAACACAGCTTGCCCATGGGCTCCTTTCCTTGGTCAGCCCGGGAAGCTGCTCTCGTCGCAGGAGAAGTGCTAGGGAAGGCATGGGTATCTCCTCCGTCGCAACCTGGTGCCCTGCGCCCGCTCCCCTCCTCGCGGCGCACACCCTCCTCGCTCCATGCTGCTATCCGAGGTATTCGGCGCCGGCTGTTGTATTCCTCAGATGCCTCGTGCCCCGGACCCTGTGATCTTCATGCTAAGAGCGAGGCTCGCTTTGCTGCCCAGCTGCTTGCTATCTAGGAGGAAGCTGACTTCAAACAGCGAAATAGCACCTTAAAATAAAGGGAGGGCAAAGCACCGTGTCCCCAGCTGTGTCATTCCACCCATGGCTCGTGGAGATCTGCTTTCCCAGTGCTCTCATCGACGTGTTTCCAGAGGCTCCCAGGATCTCCTGCCCTGGACATAATGCAGGAAACACTGGCTGCACATTCAAAGCCACATTATTTTGGCATGGAGAGTTAGATGGGCAGTTAACAGCCTCCAAATGCCAATTCACTATGAATTACAGCCTTTAATGCGGTCTTCTGGTATCTGACGAGCTATTCAAATGACACCCAAAGATCCTTTTCAGATTCAGGTTGGTAGCTGGTAGTGTTTTAGGACAAAAAAAATGAGGAAAGATGCAGTTCCCACCCCAGTAATGAAAATTCTCTGGAGGAATTTTTGGCCTGACAAAAGTCAGCCACGATACCAGGATTCCTCCTTTTGCACATCAGAGAAATGCAGTAAGCAGACAAGAGCAGCTTCAGTCCAAATACTTTACAGGTGCAATGAAAAGTGACAGAAATGCTGCTGTGAAACCCTTATAAGGTAGAAGATATATATACATACCCACATCCACACAATGCTGGGTGTGGGGAAAGAATTACGTTTAGGGCATCAATCCCAATTGATAGGACTGGCAACAGTGTGACTTGACGGGGAGCCGAAAATGCTGTGCAGGGCCCTGTGACAGGGAAGAGGGAGCAGAGCTTCTCTGCTCTGTTTCAGCCTGTCTCGCTCTGGGACGCTATCCCAGTCTGCCGGAGACATGATTCACCTCCCTGCCTACGCTGGCGCGTTATCTGCTTGCTTTCTCGGCAAGCTGAGCTGGTTGGGATTGCTGTCATTCTTGGTCTTTTCATCCAAAATTATTACAGCTCCTGAAACACCCAGAGAGGCTAAGTGATGAGGCAGAAAACAGCAATTTTAAGCCTCTGCTTGCAAGCAGGAGGTCTGGGGCAGCTCAGAACAGAGCAAGCACCTCCTTTTTTGGTAGCATATAATCAGCATGATTAATTCCACTATAATCTGGCAGGGGCCACGGGGGATGCTTCTGTGCTTTCTGTGCCAGGGGAATCGGAGTGGACTTGGCGTGCTCTGTGTGCGGTGCAGGAGCCCCAGATCGGCCCACGGGCTGATCCAAAACGCCCTCAAGAGCTCCTCCAGGGTCTCCCCGTTTCATGGCTGGGGAAGCCACAGCTGGGGGGGTGAGAGACAGGGGATAGAGACAGGTCTATCCCTGGGGATAGAGACAGGTCTCTGGGGAGAGACCCATCCTGTCCATCTTGGCATAGGAGATTCATCACATGGAGATAAAATCCTCCCTTTCAACCGCTCGCTGAACAGGCATAGACTATACTGGACACTTCCCACCCAGACCAGTAGCCACCAGGCTCCTGCTGGGAGGGGAGCAGCAGCTCCCGGAAGCAGAGGGATCCTTTCCCAAAGGGGACTTCTAAAAAGGTAGTCTGGGAGCCGATGTGATGCTGGCGACTGCCCCTCTCCACTAGCAGGGCACAGAGCAGGACTCTGCGATGGTAACATCGAAGTGTTACCAAACACGGGTGCAGCAGCTCTTGGCCTCCTCTGCCATTGCCCAGCAATGGGGATAAAGCAGAGGAGCAGCCTGAGGGCGCTGGATGCGACACGGCAGCTCCTGATTACACTAATCTCCTGGAAGCCCCTGTTTGGTAGCTGGAGATTTCCTTTCTCCTGGAGAAGCTGGAGGATCTTATCTGGCTGCTGTGTGGGGTTCAAATAACACAATTCCCGCAGGCAAAGAGACGGCAATGCCAGGAGAGACCACGGCCGGGCTGCTGCGGCTGCTGCAGCGATGCTGTGGGTCCTCGTGCGCTGTCCAGCTCGGAGGAGCCGAGGTGCCGATGACCGCGAATCACTGCGACCGAAAGCCCAGCGGGGCTCCGCAATGCACCGCCTTGGCGGAGACGGGCGCGAGGCCAGGGAGGCCGCGCCCTCGACCTCCCCAGAACACACTCGGAGGATCCTCAGCATCCTCAAAACACACTCCAAGGCCCTCAGGCCTCCCAAAAAGCCATTCCGACGCCACTCGGCCTCCCCAAAACACACTCGGAGGATCCTCGGCCTCCCCAAAACACACTCCGAGACCCCTCGGCCTCCACAAAGCCACTCCAACGCCCCTTGGCCTACCCAAAGCACACTCCCAGGCTCCTCACACTCCACAAAACTCACTCCCAGGCTCTTCACACTCCACAAAACACACTCCGAGACCCCTCGGCAATGAGCACAGCTGCAGCATCAAATCTGGCACCTCCGCTGCCCCACGTGGTGGCCCTGCCGGCCTGCTGGCAGAGGCAGCGGCGCAACACGGGCTGCGGCCGCCCCGAGCCCTCCTCTCCGCCTTGGCGCCAGGAGCTTCCTCCCTCGGTGGTGATGCCGATACCCTGCTCTGGTCCCGCTGTCGCTTAGGTCATTTATTATGGAGGCCACCAGGTGACGAAGGTCTGGGTCGCGGAGACATTGCGCTGCTGCCACCCAAAAGCTCTGCTGAGGAGTTGGTCACACAGTGACAAAGCGCAGTCTGCAAGAAAGGGCCCAGCCATAACAACATCTAACTTTTATAGAGTGTTTCTGGATTTTTTATTTATTTGCATGGCTGGCAGTGCCTGGGAGCTCAACACAAAGAAAAAAACTCGGTCTCAGCTGCAAAGAGGTAGGCAAATACCAGCCGCCCTGGGGGAGTCCAGCGCCCGCGCCAGGCAGCAGCAAAGCCTCTCCCTGACCATGGCCCCAGGGCTGCAGGGCACAGTGGTAAAAAAGAGCCTCAGGCAGGTTTGAGGGAGGCAGTAAGGTGATTTTTGAACCTTAGATATGAAATACATACGAGGAAGAATTCCTTCTTCAGCAAGATCTACTCAAAAAAATAGAATCAGCTTTTGCAAATAGAAGTATGCCAGCTTTCCATGACAGGAATATAAATTCAGCGTTTTTCAGGCAGCACTTGAATCGGGGCCACGTTTGTTTCATTTACCGCTCCATGTGCGGTCAGCCGTCGGCTGAAAACAGCCTGTGCAAAAACCAGCAGAAGAGAAAGTTGGAGGAGGGCAGAAGGAAGGGTGAAACTGCAACAAGACCAAGAATTTTAGAGCACCCAGTGGCAGAATTCAAAAGCCCTTTTGCAAAGCAGTGCTGGAAAATTACCACGAACATTAAACACATCCAGCGGAGGGCGATCAATACAAAGAGGGGCCTTTCGAAGCCAATGCCAGAGCCTCCTGCCCCGAACAAGCCCGTAAGAGCCAGGAGAAGGAAGCTTCCCGGTTTCATCCTTGACTGTCTCCCCAGGCAGCACAGCTAAAAATAGCTCTGGTGAATTCTCTGGAGCCCCACGGCGAGACGAGGAGGAGGCACGTCCGCGATGAAGGCAGCCCGCCGGCCCGGCCCGGCCCTTGGACCACGTTGCTGTGTTTTACGCCTGCAGGACGAGCCGGTTCGCGGTGATGGCTCTGGACCACGCTGCCTCCCCGGGCAGGGGTGCATCGAGCTGCGGCCGCACGGGTGGGAGAGGGAGGGTTAAACGCGTCTGCCGTGTCGTTTGCTCCTCTGGCACAGCTCTGACACTCTAATTGTTTTTGTATTAGTGTGCGGACGGAGCACCGCGTCCGTCCTTCCTGGCCGTCTCCCAGAAACGCTGCCCAAATCATTCCTCTGACTGCTACTAAAATCCCATGGGGATACACGAGCC